AGTTTCACCTTGAAAGTCCCTTCTACTAGATAGTGGTCTGAACCCACATCTGCTCCTCTCCTTGACCTTGTGTCCAGTAGGCTCCGTCTCCACTTTCTTGAAATTGAGATGAAGTCTATTTGATTCTTGGTGTTTCCATCTGGTGAAATCCATGTCGTCTTGTGTATATCCTTGTGTTTGAACACACTACCACCAATCACCAAATCATTGAAGGCGCAGAAGTCTGAGAAGAGTTCACCATTGTCGTTCATTTCACCGAGGGCCTCACGACCCATGGTGAGTTCTCTTCCTGTGTTGTCTCCTCCCAGCTTCGCATTCATGTCGCCCATCAGGATTTTGATATCGCCATTTGGGACGTTGTCCATTATTGCTTGTAGTTGTCTGTAGAACGCCTCCTTCTTCTCTTGTTCTGAGACGTTTGTAGGCGCATAGCATTGAATGACTGTAACTTTCCTTCCTTTTGAGTTGAACCTGGTCAATTACCTAGGCTAAATTCAAGTGAACTGAACTGATCCAGTTATAGAAGTGGAAGCAGGCCAGGCAGATAGCTGATGGTCTCGTCAAAAAGTGAGCAAAACAACAGTCTGTTGCTTACCTATCTTACATATGTCATAATTGTGTTATACTGGATTACGCAGTACACCGTGCGTGAGCAGCAAGAAGATAATGCATATTCAGAAATAATCTTAGTGGTATCAATCAAATACAATCAGTTGGGAAATAAAATGTTCTTTTTAAAAAAGCTTGTAATAACGTTATAATATCTGTGAATTGAAATATAATCTTAAGATTATTTATTATCATCCTCTGATTTGACTGGGAATGATATCCTCCATATTTCTGTTATTCGCGTAGGGTAACTTCTGTTGCATGTGTTGAGTGTTGACTCGATAAACCAGGATTCAGTAATCAATCCTTCTCCGCCTACCTATATTACTGTTTAGAAATTTGACTGTATCTCACCATTTCGGGTGGTTGTGTGTCAATGCATGCAATGCTATTCATCAATTTTTGTTTTTCTAAATTACTTAACCTCGTAAGATCAATCATTCTAACCTAAGCTAAATTCTAATGTTCTGATAATCTTACTACTCCTGATCTACAAGTTTAACCTATGCAGTTGAATTAACTCAATCATGACAAGGTACTTTGTTAATTATGTTATTTCATTTAGTTGGGTCCATCGGGTCTGTTAACCCAAACCTCCTGAACACCTGATGCACTATCAATAGTAGGAAAATATGTAAAATTTTTTGAATAGTCAGATCTTTACCAGCACAATGATTACCTTCTGTATTCTTCCGAAGCTAATTTTATGATCTGAGAGTTACTGTCTCAATTGTTTCTGCACTATAGGCTGTTCTTATATAAATAAATTTTTATTATTATTATTATTATATACTTTAATTCCTAGAGAAACATACGGCTTCAGCTGCGCGTCTCCATTGCCTTCGGTTTTCCGCCAACTTTTTCACTCCGCTCTAAGTCTGACCACATGCTTTCATCTTCTCTTCACATCACCTCCTCCAACTCACTTCACCTCCGGACGACCAACTCGCCGCTTCCCATTCAGTCGGGTTCCCGTCGAGTGATGGCTTGTCTAGTGATGTCATGTGATGGTTTCTTCCACGTATGGCCAGCCAATCCACCTTCATTTCTTCCTGCCTATTTGTTTCACAATCGGTTCCTGGTTGGTTCGCTCATTGCCAAAGATCTTTGTTGCTGATCTTTCCTGGCCGGCCATCTGATCTTGAGTGGTATTGAGCGAAGACAGCTAACTGGTAATGAAGGTCTGACGTTTGTTTGAGATGCTCTTCATGACGCGATGGCCAATTCTCTGATCCGTATAGTGAGTAGCACTGACTGACTTCACATTGGAGTTGAAAATCCGGATCTTATTTTCATTTTCATGCTGAGTGCTGTTGACCTCCACACAGACTTCAGAGTAATGAAAGCCTGTCTTGATTTTCCGATTCTCGCTTTGATATCCTCGTCAGTTCCGTCGGCCTCTGTTTGAAACGATGCTTTCCAGGTCGGTAGGTGGGTAGGTAAAGGAGGTTGTTTCTTTCAGGTTCCTCCCATTTATGCTGGCTGATTGTTGTCTGTTGTTGTTGTTGCTGTTGCCGTTGGCCAGGAATCTTCATCACCTCTGTTTTATCTATGTTCACCTGTAATGCAACCTTTAATGCTTCTTCTACCAGTTTTTTGCTTTTCACTTGCATACCTTCCAGTTTGTGGGAAATCAGATATAAATTATTATCATCGGCGAAGTCCAGATCCTCCAAGTCTGTTTTTGTGTGAGTCCATTTAATGCCTGTTTCCTCATTGCTTATTTTTATCTGAAGTTAATTAATGGTCTTAAATAAATGGTCTGAGACAGAATCCATGAAAATATCAAACCGTTGATTTTACTTTCAGATGCAAGCAAAACTTCCGGGAACTGATTCAGTCCCACAATATTTGTAGTATTGACGTCGCAATGATATGGAGTAAATCGAATATATTTAATGTGAGTGCAGAACTTAGGCACTGTGGTAGAATGTAATTCCGTATTAAATAAGTCCATTTTAATTATCACAAACTGATGCAGTATTAACAGCTTGATAAGGTTTCGAGAATAAATAACTGTTCATAATCATTTCAGTTTAGTACCAAGGTTTCACAATTTGTCATATATATGTCTTCTTACTTACTCCCTCCCCGAAATTCCCCTTGTTGTTTGTTGTCACTGTCCATACCTCCAGCTTGGGCATTGCTTCATTCTGATTGCGCGTGTGCTGTGTTGAATCGACAAATATGCTTTAGTGCTGATATAACTGCCGTCGAAAGGAGGGACGTCAGAGGCCTTACGTATGACTGTCAATGAGGCTGGAATTAGGATGGCATTTAAATCAACCAATCAACCAACTCTCTCAGGGGCAAATTTTGTCAGCTTATAAACCAAATAGATCCAGTCAGGAAAATTAATAATATAATTTACCAAATAGCATGTAGTGACTGTTATTGAGGTCAATTACTTAGGTCAAACTAGTACATCGAGGTCAACTATATTATTGGTACATAAAAATTTAGGTGGACCTAGAATACTTGACCCTGATAATTTAAATAACCTAGAAAAAGCTCTGCCATTGCACTGCATTCATTGGCATATGGAAAGTGACAACAAACAACAAGGGGAATTTCAAGGAGGGGGTAAGTGAGAAGACATATATATGACAAATTGTGAAAGCTTGCCACTAAACTGATATAATTATGAGCCATAATTCATTCTCGAAACGTCATCAAGCTGTCAATACTGCATCATTTTGTGTTTATTTATATAAATTTATGTAATATGAGATCAAATATCTCTTATCTCAGCATCAGTTTCTCTTCGAATCTCTTTTGGTCATCTCATATCCTGTTGATTTCTTAAAAATCTTTCATTTTACTTATTACGTAAAGACGTTCGAACTTTTGTCTGGCATAATCCAACCTCTTCTCTTGCAACTTATTGATTCCATGTATTCTACGAGTTGATCATGGATTGATATCAGTTAGAGAACCATGGAAAGCCAGGGACAGTTGTTTCATCTTAGTTTGGGAATGATCGGCAAGTATTCTGCCTATTCTTCTTTATCGTTCGCCAAACGTCTTCTTCCATCCGCTTCTCAAGAACGACTTCGTCGTGAATATTATCTAGAATACTGAAGGCTGTAAGTAATGGTGCTCTTTGGACTCAGTCAACTGAAATCATTCTCAGTAGGCCCTTCAGTTCTTGCAAGCAGTTAGCTGATGTCATCTTGTCTTACACCGAACATCATGTTAATTCTCATTTTTCCCCGTATATCTTCGGAGATGCAGCCAGAAGAAACTTAATTCTACCACCCCATAAAGATTCAGGTATCGAAAAAGAACCTGTGAACTTTTTGAGTCAGTTAATAAACTGCCAATTACAACAAGATTTATAATTATTACGTATATTATTTATTTAATTATTTATTTATAGTTCTTCATGTTCCACTAACTTTCAATTTTTGTGGTTTCATAATTTTTCAAAACGTTTTTGTGCTTTTATATATTTCTATGAAAAGATCTAAATTGTAGCGATTTGCACAAAAACGCTGATAAGGATTGTTTTGAAGTGCGTTGGCCAGGAATTGAACTCCGGAATGCATACACGGTAGTACACGGAGTATCCTTCTATGCCTGAATTCCTAAAACACATTCTCTGATAGTGAGAAATGTAAGATACCTTGAAACGTTAACTCCTTCAAGTTGTGTAAACAGAAATCAGTTTTACATCCTAAAAAAGTTGCAAGATGAAAAGAAAACAAGAAAACTGAAAGGTGAGTTCATGATTTTTCTCGTTAACCAATTATCCACCTCAAATACTGAGGAAACATAACAAACAACAAATTCTGATTTTAGGATTTCAACATGAGCTGACATTAGTTAGAGAACCATTGGAAAACCAGCTGGGAGGACTGGACATCCATTTCGTCCTAGTTTGGGACTCTTCATCAGTACGCACCCGCCGCCAGGGTTCGAACCCAGGGCCTTCCGGTTACAAGGCGAGCTTGTATACCATTAAGCCACTGGGACCTGATCCAATGGTCCTTGAATACTAACTTCTGCCAATTCACAAAATGGCGTGACCGCTAGCCTGATTTTTTTATCTCTTAATAGCACTTTCAGGGCAAACATAAATCCACTCATCAAATCATTCTTACAGTTTGAAGCAGAGCACAATTACAAGGTTAGCTTGCAAAAAGGAAAATGTCTGAATTGGAAAAAACCAAATTTTCTATATGATAATTCCATTGTGTAAACGAAGTCAAAAAGCCGATTGGTTAATTTTCGGTTATAATTGTTCTTTTACTGAAATTTAACTTATCAACGAATAGCTAAAGCTGTACAGTCAGTCATCTCACTTTGTAGTAAAGTTGTCAATTTTATTATTTGAACGAACGATATATATATATATATATAATATATATAATATATATATATATATATGTAAGCATTTATATCGAGGATGACATGTTGAGCTATCATTATTACACTGACCAGCATTGTGTTTATGCTTCATTTTTATCTTTGATATACCAACTACTCAATCGTTTATTCGTTGACAAATATTTCAGTCAACACATCTAACAGTTACCATATAAGTTGACCATATCATAAAGGCCAACTTGAAGTATACAAGTGAAAAATATATATACACATTGAATATCCACTGAAAATTGAATCGAAGAAAATCTACATGAATCAAAATATACCAACAATCTATACTAATTTGACCTACCAACCACAACAAAATCCACACCATCAACATCAACAACAACAACAACAACAACAGCCGCCATATATTACTGACTCCCGGTTAAGAGCACAATCACAGTATGCTATGCCAACACAAATGTATCGGAATAAATCTGATTCTACAAAAATCACTAATGAAATCACCACATTAACTGAACATGGATTATCTAGTGATATTTCACCTAATCAACATTTTCATTCATCAGAACAAATTTCACCCCGGAAATCTGAATTTCAACCTGATCCGTTGAATGTGTTAAATTCAAAGGAGATAGTTTCATCGAAAGACAACCGACAGACGCCTTTAAATCAATTCATAATAAATAACGATGATAAACTGCCGAATGAAATGATAAATAATAGTAATAATAATAATAATAATGAAAATAAGTGTATGCCAGTGAATAATGAAAAACAATGTGAAGGGAATGATGAAGAAAATCAACCGACTAGTTCAGGTGTTACAACAGAGAAACATGCCCGTGAAACATGGGACACGAAAATTGATTTTTTACTGGCTGTTATTGGTTTCGCTGTAGATTTAGGCAATATATGGAGATTTCCGTTTATTTGTTATCGTAACGGTGGAGGTATGTTAGAGCATTTCAAATTCGTTTTTTTACTGTTTTCAAACTACAGACAATGCAATACAATGTTTTTATATCACTAAATAATGTGTACCTACCGGTTGACTACAGCCTAATATTATACTGTTCGAGCACGAATTAGCTTCAACTAGAAAATCATTGAGTAGTAGCACGGGGTACTGTACAACCGTGTTGTGCTTGTTTAGAACTCCACATCACTACCAAAGCATTATCCCAAAACCATGGACTGAACCCTGGGTCTTCAGGTTACAAGGCTAGCTTGGTGAGCATTAAATGACTAGGATGGAATTCAAAGATCCGTGAATTCGAACTTCCAAAAATTCCCCAAATATACTGCGCAACTGCGAGTTCTTGCCTTCATATTCATCTTGGTGGCCTATATTCTTCATGACTTCTCACTGAAAATTTGGAAAACTTCATCATCGAAACTAGTCATTAGTAAACAAGAGATTAATTGTTAAGTGTTAGTTCATTTGCAGGGAATCAACTGATTTCAAGTTCGATCTGTGGAATAATAAAAGACAATCGCTGACTGTAATCAGATCAAATATTTTGTAGCATTTAGTTAAGTGTTTTTATTGTAAGAGTAGTCAGCCTACCAGAAGTCGCTTACGCCTATTTTGCAAAAACTATACTGTCAATAAACAAACATGATTACAACTATGTTTTCATGACCATTGTCAGTAGAGCCTAGTTTTCATGTGAACACAATGAAATATGAATAAATATTAAATATTATTTCGGTGAATTGATTTGCTTGACAACAAAGAATAGTTTAACTGACAGGACAATCTACTGTACGCAGTTAAAACAGTATTATTTAAAAATTAATAGCTTGATTATGAATTATTATTATTCTCTTAGGTTTCGAATAGAACAAACCGCGTCAACAGAACACCTCCATTTCATTCCGTTCTCTGCAGCCATTTTAAGTTGACTTCAAGATTTCCACAAACTCTCATCACATCTTCACATTATCGACTTGATGTCACCCTCAGAGGAAAGCCCAAATCATCATTTCCATATTCGGGTTCTCTAGTACTCTAGCGATGACCTGACTCACTGTGTCATTCGACAGTGTTCTCGGCACGTATCCTGTTAATCTCGATTTTCGTCTGCATGACTGTTGAGTAATAGCCTCTTAGTTGCCTCATTCTCAGAGTTTCTTGTTGCTATTTCTTCATATGATCTTCAATATGGAACTAGAGACAGCGATCATTGATCAGAGTCTGCTTTGGCCTGTTGAAAATCATTTTGGTGATGACAGTAACACGTTTCCGACCACATCAAAGTACCGAATGGCTTGACATTGGTGTTGAAAATTAGAATTTAATTGTTTATGCTGAGTTCCGAAGATTTCCGAACTGTTATCAGGGTGATGGAGGTTTGGTTTGACATGCTTATCCATGCTATCATGAGTAGTTAAAATGATACTTCATAGACAAGTGACGGAAGTGACATCATTCAAATTTCTCACATTCAAAGTGATTGGTGCTGATCCTTCCTTTTGGCGAGTGGGCATCTTCACCACCTCAGTCCGCTAAGTTCACTGCATATCCTGCCTTTACTGCTAATGTCTTCAGGATTTCGTCAATTTTTGAGTGTTAGTCTTCAAGTTTGTATGACTTTAAACATGATTTGTCTGAAAATCCAGATCTTCTACAGTCTTCTTATCGGTTTAACATGTTTATTTCTTCTTTCAGGCCCCCAAAGCCTGACACATGATCAAGTCCATCACCATCACGGGATCATTGGTGATAGTAGTAGATTTCTGTTTTGGATCACATGATATACGGTAGTGTTATATAGCTATTGAATAAGGTTGATAAATATTTGACGTATTGTACTCCACAGTATTGGAGTAAATTCCATATCAGTTAATCAATTTTTATACACTTGGAATAAGACAGTCAATGATCTTAGAATTTGACAGTTATATAACAGAATATCTGAGTTGTACATTTATGTTTTCTGTATGGATTTTGTTCCAAACAAATGCGTGGTAAGAATGTTTTGACAAGTACATTATATATATATTGAGGTCTGGCTTTAAATTAATCCACGTATTATGAACAAACCATTTTAACTGTTACGCTTTAAAAAGTATAAAAACCACAGTGGTTAGTTTGAATGAAATATTTGAAAACATTCATCCACTTTTTAAATGTTTTATAAATTCTTTGGTAGATAAAATAACTTTATCGCTTAACGTAGATTTACACGGCACATACATTATTTTTTGCTGTCTTGATTACGAAGCGATGTTAAAATAAAATGACGTTTACACCTGGTTGTGTAAATAAAATCAAAGTACAAAATTTTCATTGGGTGTATACATGATCAATGAAATTGTGCATGAAACTTACAGTCCACAAAATATTATGTAGGTTTAGTATACAATTGGTGGATGGTTGCTAGCAGTGGAATCCAGGATGCGCATTTCATCCTATTTGGGACTCGTCATCTGGATGTACCTGCATTTCTCAGTGAGTGATGATGTTCCCACCGAGGCTCGATCCCAGATCGAGCACTTCAGTCCAATCAATCGACAGGAAAATCAAAAATTCAATTCAATTATGTAGGTTTGTTAGCATTTGAATTATGATAAATTATAAGCGTTCCCTTAAGTTCCAAGTGGAATATACGGCTTCATCAGCGCATCTGTATTTCACCACATTCTCTTCAGCTCTCTTTAGATGGCCTCACGATTGCCAATCGTCTTACATATCCTTGTCGTACCACAGCCTCACTGTCATCTTTGGATACAGACCCAACTCATCGTTTCCTTTTCAGGATTCCATCATGAGCTGACATTAGTTAGGGAACCATTGGAAAACCAGCTGGGAGTACTGGACAGCTGTTTCGTCCTAGTTTGGGACTCTTCAGTAAACATTATTAAACATTAAACATCATCCTTTCCTATTCGATTTCCATTCAGTCAATCGACTGCACTAAGTGTGATTTCATTCGACAGTCCCCTCAGAGTATACCCGGTTCATCTCGATTTTCTTTGAAATATTTTCTGAGCATTAAATTCTTAGTTGGTTCGTTCCCATAGTTTCTAGTTACTAATTCTTTCTGAATATGTGATCTTCACAATGGAGACAGTGAAGTCTGTAACAGCCTGCTGGAAATGCCTTTTGTGAAGCCAGAGGCAAGATTCTGATCCACACAGAAGAAATGACTTAACATTTGAGTTGTGCACAATCCAGTACACCAAAATTAGGAATATCATGAGTAATAGTAGGCAGCTTTGTCTTACTCCTGTATTCACTCCAAAGGTTTTACTGAGTTCCTCACTGTGGACCACCTGACACATGCAGTTGTCATAGAGCTCCTGAATGAGGTTAATAATATTTGAAGTAATAGTGAATCGATAATAGTAAACTTGTAACCTTGTTGTATTTCAGTAATTCTACATCCTCTTGCCTTCTCCAGTAAACTGTTGAAAATGCACATAGTCTTAGACTATTAGTTATTGTTGAGTTGCACAGCGCAGTCTATGGAACTGAGATCGCCACGATTACAGATCTCTACAGTTTTTGTTGTCCATTGATATTGTCAACCACTTAGCTTCTCTCTCCATATATTTTCCCTAACGTTCCAAGTCGAATACAAGGCTTCAAGCTTGAGTTGTGAAGTTTCGGTAGCAGGGATATTTACGTCTTAAGAGGTGAGGTTGATAACCTTAAACCCAAGGACCTGACTTTACCAGATTTATTAATAGCCAAGCTATGTTTAGGAATGAATCGGTTAGGAGTCGAATCCAGAACCGTATGCATGGTCGGAGTTCATTCTCAAATCAGGGAATACTAAACAGCCTTTTCGTGCTTCTTTTGAACTCAGCAGTGATACGAGCCTATAACCCCAACTGGGGATCAAACTTGACACTTTAGGAGACCAAGCTCGTTGCCCATTCAATCATTTCTAAATGAAAACCTATTAACTATAGTCAATGAGCTATTCTATCAGAATATATTATGTAATATGCAGACAAAAAGTTTTTCAACAAGGACACTAAGTGTTTTCTGTTCACATCAACCAGCAGTGCTTGCTAGCCAGATGATTAAAACACAGGATGGCAATGTCTTGCCTGTTGAATAAAGATCATTAGAGGTGTACTCAATTTAATTCGGCTTACGCAGTTGAATTAGTTCAAGCCACCGGAATTCTAACCGCCAACTTGGGCAAACAAGTAATAGATTGAATCATATTCAATAATTTTAATTACACATAGCTCGAGGAGATGAATCTTCACCATAGTCTTTTTCAGAAACCAGAATTATGCAGATCTTAATAGGCCATCTTTGTGAGCCATCCAAAGAGAAATAATTTTTTATAAGTATAGCGTATTCTAAAACAGTGATGACCAACGAGCATTCACGAGAAAACGTTTACTTTGACGTCATTAGATATCAGGTAAAATGTGAGCCTATGAAAGCATATAGATTACGTTTTGTCCCACCAACCTTGTTGATTCGTATTTAGAAAGTGCTAGATAAGTGCTTTTGTGAGAAATGTTAGAGTAAAGTGACATTAAATAAGTTATGGGATGTGATATTAAGAAAGCTTTATAATTGCAGTGACCCTGACTGAGACATATGCTTAAGAAACAAAAGGACAGCTGATACAAAACTCACTACATATTCAGTGTAATCGATCTCACTTACGTCACGACAATATGCACAACAGAACTAGTTTAGTTATTCACCCAATTATTCATCTAATCGCTTGTATACAAAACCTAAATCTTTCTAAATATACTAATCGAAATTGATAAGTTACTGTTTTTCAGCTTATCATAACAGAGCTTGTATTCTGTAGTCAAATGATCCACGATTATTGATGAAGTTTCTAAGATGCACACAGACTAAGTATAAATAGGTTCTAAGGGGCTGACTGTCATGAAACACTGACTTGGTGTATAAATCTCCAGCTTTGAAAACAGTGGTTACCAGTTTCAAGTCACAGGGGGATGCTGT